GGATGCAGTTTTATGACTATTTATAATGTTTGTGATTATTTATTGTTGTTTGTTATTATTACTTCTACTTGTGCTCATATGTGTGATCGTGGTTCGTGAATTTGTTAATTATTTACTTAGTTTATTTACTTATTTCTGTTTATTTACTTATTCTTTGTTTATTTATTTTTTATTCTTGTTCGTTTTTAGTTTTACTACATAACTTAAAATAAAAAAAATCATTGTTTTTATAAATTTATAAACAAAAAATAGAAAGGATTCAAATTAAAATAATTTTGCGCTTTCCTTTAAAAAACCTTCTCTCTCTCTCTCTCACTAACTCTCTCTCTCTCTCTCTCTCTCTCTCTCTCAACTAATCAGAAGGCAACTCTCAGAGAAGAAGAAAAGATTGAACCCGACCAAAAAATGCAGGAAGCTTGTAGAATCAGAACCTACTTATTTGTAACTGAAAAATACCAAAAATCAGGGAGGCTCTACGCATAACTTCCGTTATAAAAAAAGATAAAAAAAGAAAGGAACGTTGGAAAATAAAATAATTTTGGCCAATCAAAAAAATTAGCACAAAGTGACTTTTGACGTTAGCTGAAACCAGTGTCCGTGCCAGAGTATCGGAGCCTGTTCATAAGCTAGACGGCAGAAGGGGCGGCGAAAATGACAAGAGATGCGGCTGCTGGAGAAACCAGCCATGCGTGACGCGTGAAGAAGTCATCTGCTTATGATATTTCTGCGATGCTTAAGGGCGAGAAAAACATAGTAGATTGATAATGACCTATTTCTAATATTATTACAACCCTTGTACGGACTGACTTCAAAACTAGCACTATCGGACTTTTTCCAAGCTACTACCAATATCCACCTTATTAACGAACATTTTTGGGAACCGAATATCAAAGGAGTCGCTCTAAAGCAAATAAATAGAAATATTATATTTGCATATACCCTTGCTCGGACTTTGTGGTGTGTCCTACGTTTTCAATAAACATCACCAAGAATATCTACAACAACTTACCACAGGTATTTCCCATTACGTTTCTGTCTATTATACAGGGGTTCTAGGACAGTTGCATACTGGACATTTGCGTACCAGACAATTGCGTCTCTAGACAAATTGCGTATCTCTGATAAATTTTTTGAAACTTTTAAAGGCAATTACCATAAATTTTGAGAAAAAAGCATAGGTAGCAATCATAAATTTTTAAAAAAAGAGATAAAATAAAAAAAATTAAAAGTTTATTTTAGTTTAAAATGCAATGACAGGTTAATAGTGTTACAAGATCGCTTTTCACATCGACAGAATGTTTTTTGCCTATGATGGTGGTAGCTGTAATTGTCATCTTCCAGAAATATTATTTTCCTCCGGAGTTTGATTTTCGAAATTTAGCCATGGGTTACAAATAAAAATATAATCTATAAAATCCAGAATTTATTAGATGCTTCTGGGACGCACTGCTGGAGTGAACTGAAACTGCTAGCTTAATTTTCTCTTGATTTAAAAAAGAAATTGTTCTCTTTTTTTTATTTATGTGTTAAATAATAGTTTCAGACTATTATTTTTTTTTAGTGGCAGTGTATTTGACTCAGACCTTCTGAGACTGACTTGGAGTCAACTGGCAGACAAAATAGGGATGTTGATTTTTATTTGCTGAGCCGAACCTGGGAATGTTAGAGTTAGAAAGTGCTTTCAGTGAGTTAAGTTTTACACGCCATACACATTAGACATGGTTATTTCGTGTCTCGGGGAACTTGCTCCCCAGTGGGGGGGGGGGTAACAGAGCGACCTCTACCGGCTAGTTAAAAATGTACACGTCGACGTGTTAATAAAATAGATAAGTTTAAAATCCCTTTTGTTGAACTTCTCATTTTACCTCCGAACAAACCAACTAGCGGCCGGAAGATGACAGAAAGAAAAAAGCAACATATGAGTGAACCAAGACTTCCCTAGAAGAGAGGATGGTATACAACATAGTCTCAATTTGGCACAATGACCAGGACCTCCTAGAATGGGGGATGGGTATACAACAAATACATTATTTGGTGCGCAGTGACCAGCTCCTTCCAACGAGGAAGGGCACAACACAACGTGGAAAAGTTATGAGAAGATTTTCAACTGAGGACTCAAAAAAATGAAAAGGGGACTCAGAAAAAAATAAGTAGTCTAGCTAGACATATTGGACAGTCTGTAAGTATGATGATATTACTTTGTCCTACTGCCACATAAACACATACAAACACACGGACACACACACACACACACACAGATCTAAGCAACAAACCAAAATATGAAATAATAGCGAAAAAACTCTAAATGGTAAATACCTTTCTGCTTTTTTAGAGTAATTAAAAGTATTGATGTGCAAATTTTTATATTAAACAACTCTTTAAAAAATAGTTACTTCAAAAAATTATCAGAGGTACGCAATTATCCAGGGATGCATTTGTCCAGGGACGTAATTGTCTAGGGACGCAAATGACCAAGGACGCAATTGCTTGGTACGCAATTGTCCGGGATGCATATGTCCAGTACACAACTGTCCGTCCACCTTATACAGGCTGTCTAAAAAATGTATACACACCTTGCAGCTTTCTCAAGGAATACTTCAAGCAACTAAAACCAACTCTATCTAATTTAAATAATGCATATGAAGATAGTATTTATTATAAATGCATCCTCCCATAGATAGCGGCTCGGATTGAGGAATCGGAGAGCCGAGTTCGAATTCCAGTCGAATCCATTACATTTACTTATGTGCTAATACCCTTGGGAAAGGTATGAATCCTGTTCTCCCCCCCACACACACACACACCAGCTATGGGTAGAACGGGTTCTATAGCCTTGGATGGCAACTGGTTAAACGCATAAAGAAATGACAACCGACTGCGGAAAAAATATGCCTCGTCAGTCATGTAACGAAAGATACATGATCGCGTAAGTGTGTATCACGCATGGCACATAACTGACTGATGCTCTTAAGATTTTGTCACCATGTTTTCAAATTAATGTCCAGACACTGCAGACAACGCGACGCAATGGAGTCACTAGCAGCAATCAACATTTCGATAAGTTTCTTGGACTTCTGTGAAAACTTTCCATCACTCTTTCTTGCTTCACAGGGCGTGGTTGATATCCGTTGTCTGACGAAATGGTGCTTGTGTACATCGTGTAGAGTAGCATCAGCTTCAAATATATCTCTAATTCGGGAGATTTTAAGCCGCGTGTGTGGATCTAAATGAAACTCTTCAATATCACTTTTTGAACTTCAATTGCATTTTCATACTTCCATTGGCGTTTCAGCGTGAACTTTCTTTGCTCAAAGCTAAACCCAGATGACATTAGTAAGACTAACGTGTAAATCTGAAAAGAAAACAGGTTGACTTGAGCTATACACTGTAAAAATGTGTATACATAGTTTTTGAGACACTCTATATTTAGGTTTTGGACACGTTTCGTGCCCTGCTCTATCGCTACAAGAGCCAAATCAAACCCAAAATGGAATATTGCTGCCATATCTGGGTCGAAGCTGCCCAATCCTCACTTTTCCAGACTCGACCGAGTTCAAAAGCGTTTACGCGGCCTTGTGGGTGATGACTTGTTTTCCACACTTCAACTCCTTTCTCATGCTGCTCTACCGTTATTTTCATGACCGGTGCTCGGGCGAACTACGCTCCTTCGTCCCACCAGTCTATATACCCTTCACAGCTAAAACCCACCAATACCACGCACACTGAGACAATTCATCCTAATTCCCTTCATATTCCATTGATAAGGAGTAAGTTCTGAGTTGCAACAGTTCTGAAAGGAAGAGTTGTACAACTCCTTCCCTTCAGAACTGTTGCAATGTGGAACGAACTCCCGAGGGAATGCTTCCTTCATCACAATAATCTTAACATCTTCAAGTCAACGGTCAACCGCCATCTATCCTACATATACTCATAATATACAACTCTTGCTCTTCCTACCTACACAACTTTATAACATCCCCATTCAGTAACCCTCTATCTTGAGTGGCGCTTAAGCCTTGTATTGGGTGAACAATAGTTAAAAAGCAGAAATTGAATGACAAAATAGGAAAAAATTATATGTAGTGTGTTTCGACTTCTAAAAGACGTCATCAGACTAAAGTAATGTTTTTTTATTGATGGAATTACAGTGAAACAAGGAAGAGGTAAATATAAATGTAGACGTCGATTATAATTATGCACGAAGGAGAAACAATGACGATCTATTGACACTTAATTTTAAATTTGAAAATTACTATAATCTACTATAAATATATTAATTGTATGTGACTTGTCTTGACAAACAGCTCAGCCGATCGCATTTGCATTCGTCATGTTTTTGTTTTTATCGCTGTTTTTTTCAATATCCCACACTACGCCAAACAGAAGAATTGTTTCAAATGCTAAAGATGTGGAATAACCTGGACGCAACTCAGATTTGTTGACATACTTTAAGAATTTTGATGTGCATGGAACAGAAAATATATCAAACCTGCACGGCTTCTATGGTCCGGCATGGTGATCGCCTTTTGACTGTTTCCGACTCTGTTTACTTCTATTGTCCGGCATGGTGACCATCGCTTGACCGTTTCCGCCTCAGTTTACTTCTTATGGTCCGGCATGGTGATCGTCGCTTGACTGTTCCCGCCTCAGTTTACTTCTTATGGTCCGGCATGGTGAGCGTCGCTTGGCTGTTCCCGCCTCAGTTTACTTCTTATGGTCCGGCATGGTGAGCGTCGCTTGGCTGTTCCCGCCTCAGTTTACTTCTTATGGTCCGGCATGGTGATCGTCGCTTGACTGTTCCCGCCTCAGTTTACTACTTATGGTCCGGCATGGTGATCATCACTTGGCTGTTCCCGCCTCAGTTTACTTCTTATGGTCCGGCATGGTGATCGTCGCTTGGCTGTTCCCGCCTCAGTTTACTTTTTATGGTCCGGTATGGTGATCGTCGCTTGACTGATCCCGTCTCAACTTATTTCTGGTCATTTTCTTTTTTCTTTGAGGCTTTTATTATGCAACACAACGTAAACATATAACATTTCTTCTTTTTTTAACTTTTTTTCTTCTTTCTTTTTTTTTTTCTCTCTTTCTTCTTTTTCTTTATTTCTTCTTTTCCCTCTCTCTTTCGTCCTGGTTAACACGATAAACTGCATCCAACATCAAGGCCTCTGATCAGGAGATTTTGGGGTGCGTGGAACCACCTCTTAATTACTGGTGTTCCCAGGTCCACCTTGACCCGGGGTGGTAGCAGCTGCTAGGGTCCCAGCTATGGGCAAGATAATTAACCTCCAAACTGTGGTTAAAACACTATGAAAGTGTAAAAATAAGTTTTAATACCAGCAATACATTTTTGTAAAAAAATTATTACCAGCAATGAATTTTTGAAGAAAAAATGTTACCATCAATACATTTTTGGAATAAAATATTACCAGCAATATAAATCTTGTCGGCATTACATAACCCATTGAGTTTGATATGCCGTAAACCAAACCAAACTTTCTCTCTTTTCTTTTCTCTATTATCTTTTCTTTTCTTTTCTTTCTTTTATTTAAAGAGATTGCCACTTTTTAAAATGTTTCCACAATAATTAATTTTATGAAAAATAACCCCTCAAAACAGAAGGTAAGAAATCATCCGATAAAATGTGGATACATTTGCTTTCGTTTCATTTTTTTGTTTTGTTTTGTTTATTTTTGTTTTTCTTTCTTTTGTTTATTTTTTTTTTTTTTTTTTTTTTTGTATTTTTGTTTCTTTTCTTACCTGCTTTTCAGTTTTAAATTCATTTACATATTTTCTTATTTTCAGTCTCGCCTGCAGTGTAACCTTTATGGAACAAAGTGTAAGTATATCTTGCTTGATTTATTTCCCGTGTCATTTAACTATTTCGAAACTGCTGACGAGACATCGTGCAAGAAATCTGTGTTCTTAGGCTGTCAGTGCCACAAGACAATTCGTAGAAGACAACAAAAAAGACGTCGAAAGATCAACTGGTGAGAGATTTCGCCGATACTATAAGACATAAAAGTCTAGGCACTTATACGAGAAAACTTTTTCGATCAATTCGCCAATCGATGTTCGAGAGTGGCCGTTTGAACATCACCTCCACTCCCAAATTTTGCTAATTTAACATTTTCTCCATCTCTTCTTAAGCCGTGTAAGCTCGTGGAACGCTCTTCCGACTTTAGAGAAAGTTAAATAACCAACGAAAAAACATAGGAATTTATTTATTTTATTAATAAAATAATTCATATAGCATGGCAATTGTTCTGATGAGCTTTTTAATCCAAACTGGTTTATCTATTACAAATCATACTTTATTGGCGTACACCTTTACTAAGCAAAGACACTTTAATTGTCATAAAAACATTGTTTGGTTTGCGAAACACCAATATTAAACTTTTCAAACTCAGTACAAATTCTCTGAGTAATTTTATTATTCAGTTTGTATTTGTGTAAATGCTTTATATTACTGAAAATATATGTTCGCCTGTTGTTGTGGTGTTTGACAGTTTTGTGCCATGCAAGCAAATTTAAATGTTTGTGGGGATGTTTTCATTCACGCAGCCAAACCAAACTAAAAAAAATAATATCCTTCTGATCTATAATTAATTCAAGGAACCATTCACTCTGCAACAAGCTTGGTATCTCTTTACGAATTTAAGGCACTACTAGATTGGTAGGTAGGTAGGTCTCATTTTACAGGTGAAATGGCTAAAAAAAAGTAACCGTAAGTTCTATGTTAACATTTTCTTCTCTCGCACTTCTCGCTTGTGGAACGCTCTTCCGACTTCTTGCTTTCCAGACAACTTTGTTCTTCAAAAGTATAAATGCAATGTCAATCGTTATCTTTTGACTTCTTAATTCCTGTACTTTTATTAATTTCTCTCTTATTATTCTCTTTTTTCTTTTATTCTTGTACCTTCAATAGCCCCCCTCCCCGCCTCCCTATTGCGTTTTAGTGGCTTTATTGTCTTCCTTGGGGTGAAATGATATAAAACAATGTTTTAGAAAAGTATTATACATACGGTCACTCATGTGATTACACAATTTTTTTAATGCATCATTATCAAATTTATTTCTATATTTCCAAATAGATCAATGATCAAGTAAATAGTGAATAGTGCTTTATAAATGCAAATCTTTCTCCGACTCTCAAAACAGTTGTAGTGACTACTACTACGTTTGCCACGCCTACAGTTTTCTCAACTGTGATTGGTTAAATAATAAATACTGTTTACCACAGGACAATTTACTAATCGCAGTCACCACATTGAATTTTTCTGCCGTGAATTTCACAAACATACTTTTGTTAGAAAATCACCGATTGGTTAATTTTTTATCCAATCATATATTTTCTGTGTTCGTTCAATTCTCCCGCCTTTGTTCCTGTAGCCTAGCAATAGTTATAAAAGCAGTGTTTTGTTCTAAGAATAGACAGTAGAATTCAGCAACTCTCACGCGTCTACACAGATTATTGATTCTACTCACTACGCACACACAGACACAGAACTTGAATTACATTTCACCATTCGTTTTCTGTGAACAAGCCAAGTTACAAACCAACACTCTGTTAGTTATACAAATAACACACAACTGAATTAAATGTATGTTTTTCTGAATGCAACATTCTATTTCAACATAGAACTTTGAACATTCTATTCAAGAAACATTCTTAATTACATTTTATCTTATTCAAGCTAACAGATAAAGGGGAAACTATTTTCTTTTCCTTAATATTCACACATTACAAAATTGTTTTGTATTTGTTGATTTTAATATATATTTTATCGTTGAAACAAAATCGTTTTCTCATTGCTTTTCCTTGATTCAATAATGTATAAATGTTAAATGCTCTTCAACATGCAGCCACATTAATCTTTTCAACATAGTACACAAGCAGCATTTACACATTCATAAATGCTTAGCTGCGTATCCTAAGGTAAATAAAGCAATTTCTAAAGAAGTGATGGATTTTTTTTTTATTAATCCGACAGATTTTATTAATTAAAAGTTACTTTTAGTGGGTGCCCATATCTGAGTAGACGCCCCGTTTATTTATTAAACAATATATTAATTTTCGTCTATTCGAGAAATCTTATTACAGAAAAATATGCGCTCTCGGAAACAAGTGGCAGTCGGCCATTTAGTTTATTGGGGTCGGAGCAATACTTTGTGACCCTCGCTATCTTATCAACATTTGCTTTTTTTTTCTACCTACATTTATATAAGCTACAAATTAAACTAAGTACAATTGACTGAAGGATGGAAATTTTTCGCAAATTTTGACATCATTCTGGGGTCACTTTCTTTCTTTCTTTTTTTTTTTTTTCTTACAATCCGTGATTTGTTTTGCTTATGCTAAATCTCTCTCTAAAAAAAAAAAAGAAAACTTTATATGAAATTCACTTTTTTAGTCTATAATGTTGAATGTTAAAAATATTCAACTTTATAACAAGAAAAAAATGTTATGTAAAAAAATGCTGCAAAACATTGCTTATTTGTTTAAGAAGGAATGATCTATTATGACGTGTTTCTAACTTGTATTTAGATACACTATAGCATATACATGCGTCCGGTTAATAAAAATATGCTTTCATTTAAATGCGTGATAAAAAAAATTGCTTCTCTTCTTCTCTAAACTTTTAAAAGCAATATTTGTTTTAATTAAAATTTAAATCAGTTAAGCTTCCTCAATTAAAGTTTCAGAAAAATAAATTTTATTTTTGAAAGATTTTTTTTAATAAAGTTAAAAATATTTTGTGTTAACAGATTTGTCAATTGCCAATTTTATAGCGATTTAAAAAAATAATTCCAATCATTTTAAATTCGGTTTGAAGTACATTAAAATATTTTGCTTCTTGGAAATATTAAATTTACTCTATTAAATTAGAATTAAAACTAAAATAAAATCTTCAAGAAATATTTTTCATTTTTAAAATGCATTTTAAACTTTAGTTGCCACTTTTTTTATATTTTTTTTATTTTGATGTACCTAACTTTCATTAACAGGTATAAAAAAATAGATTAAAAATGAGTTACTTCCCTTGTTATTTCCCGTGTTCTGCCATGAAAGAAAAATAATAACGGAGTTACTTCCCTTTATACCTTTCCTTAGCTGTTATCTACTATGTGCTGCGCCCGTTCAGGACATAGGCGATTATGGCTCTCCATAACGTCCTATCCCTTGTAGCTGTTTTTCTCTCTTTGCTAAGGCTCCCTCTACCCCATCCTGCCATCCATTCATACAAGCTGCTTTCATCTATCTGTCTTGCCATCAATATGCCCTATGGGGGTTAAGTTTTCTAAGCCCTCCTTCCTCATTATTTGTCTAAGAAATTTTAGCTATTCTTCCCTGATTCTAAGTGTTTTTTCTGTTGAAATTTTATTCCCTGTTGCCTTCTCGCTCTGTCCATGGAATTCTCAGTATCCTTCTGTAGAACCACATTTCTGCTGTCCCCAGTTTTCTCCCTATCTGTAGGTAGATATCATAGTACAGAAAAAAAAAACATCAGAAAGAGTGTGCTGCATCAATCTTCCCAAACTTGAAATTTCTGTGCCCTGTCCCTTCAGGACGTTGGCAATCATGGCTCTCCACAATTTCCTATCCCTTAATCACTTTTGTCTTTTTGATATCTCCTTCATACCCTGCTCTGATATCCATTCAATCAAGCTTGCCAGGTAGGTTGTGAATTACTTTCCTCTGTCTCTCTTACCTTCAATCTGTCCTGTGAGTATCAAATTTTCCAAGCCCTTCTTCCTCATTATGTCTCAGAAAACACATCTATCTCTTCTTGGTGTCAAATATAAGCATCCTTTTTGTTGACATTGTAGAATTTTGTCATATGTTCGCTATATGATAGTCTCAGCATCCTCCTGTAGAATGACATTTATATTGCTTCAAGTCTCTTTTCCTCTGTGAGGAGATTGTCCAGCATTCACTCCCATATTGGAGGACTGGTATTACATAACATGTCAGTACTTTTTTCTTTATTTCTAATGATATTTTTCTACTTCTTAATACTTTGCTTAGCTTTCAGAAGGCATCTTTCGCTAACCCAATGCACCTTCAGATTCTTGTGCGGCACTTTCTGTCCTCTGTTAATATGCTTCCCAGATATCTAACTTGTTGCACCTGCTTGATTTCAGTATCTCCAACCTGTAATATGTATGTTAGGTTGCCCCTTTTGCTAACAACCATTCAGTCTTCTTGCAAGTATTTCTGAATCCTAATTTTTTACACTGACAGAAATCAAGAGTAAAATCATTTCAGCATCACATCAGGTAAAAAGCCATAATTGTGAATCATGTTTAAGAATTACTGATTTTACTATAGAAATGCATTGAAAATCAAGAAGGGATTTTCAGTAATAAGGAATTAATGCAAGCATTACTGATAGAATTATTCTTAAGGTGATCATGACTCTCCACAACTTCCTATCCGTCGTCGCTCTAAGCAATGTTTGACCCCTTACTATTACTTCCAGTCCCTCTTCCACCATCCATTTACACAAGCTCATCAGGTACGTTGCTCACTGTTTACCTTTGCCCCTTCATGGCATGGGTGGTTATTGTCTCCACAACTTCCTAGCATTTGTATCTCTAAGCAATTTTTGTGCCTTCACAATTTCTCCTCATCTCTGTTTTGACATCCATTTACACAAGCTTCTTGCCTAGGTTATTTGCAGTTTTCTCTGTCCTCCTTGATTTCAACATGACCTGTGAGTGTCAAATTTCCCAAGCCCTCCTTCCTCATTATGTGCTCTAACCCTTTCTAATTTGATTCTAAGTAGAAGCATCCTTATTGTTTCCATTTTCATTGAGACATATGGTGTTGTGTCGGAAACCTACCACCCCTCTTGAAGATGAACTTGTCTGCGTCTGTGAACAAAGACTTTAAATAGTGGCATGTCAGTTGACATGGGGGAGACAGATAGACAGAGAAGTTCTTAGCTGAGTTAGTTATTGACTATTCAGGCGATTTCTGTACCTTTTTACCAACCTATTAAAATCCTTTTTATTGTTACGTGTTATTTGGCGTTTGTCTCTACTAACCCCAAATCAACATCATAACAGTATATATATATATATATATATATATATATATATATATATATATATATATCAACATCATAAAATATGGCTATTGTTGATCCAGGCCTTGACTGATTCAGCATGGTATTGCTTTGATTCTTCTTTCTCATGTTCCTTTCATTGGGCTTTCAGATAGTTTGGTGGCGCCCATCTCCTTTCTACGTTTTTGCAAAAATTGCATAGATGCTACTCAATTAAACAATGTTGAAAATGAGTAATTGGGGAAGTTGTGGAATGGACAAAATTTTTACCAAAGACCGGATCATTAAGATTACTGAAGGAAATTTATAGAAAATGATAGGCTCTAAACTGGGTCTAAAAGTTAAGAATTATTTCAAACTTATTATTGGTTAAAAGTTTTGTTAATGTTTTACTCAACAATTTAAAACGGAAATGATATTAGGATTTTCCTTTTTTGATCCATCAGTTCGTCTAAAGACCATCTGCAAGCGTTAGAAATTGTAGGGTCATTTTTCAAGGGTTGAACATTGAACAAAAAATAAAAATAAAACATTTGACATTTCAAGCTTCCATATTTCTGAACCTTCTTCTCATGCAGAAATGACAACTTCATTTCGGTCAGAAGGTTTGTTACAAAATAATTAAAAATGATTCTAGAAGTTTATCCTAGGCACCATCAACCCTGCTGATCTTTTGGATGGGGACCATTTATCAGTAATAATTTTTTTTTTTTTTTTTTTTAACAATTATTAAAAAATTGTTTTCATGTTATTAATCTCTTGAAATAATTTTTGCAGCTTGTCACAGCTCCATGGGAGCATACAGCAAGAATGATGATGCCAAGTGGCCAGGAGCTCCCACTGATTTTCAGGCAGTGGTGTTTACCAAGAAGGACCCAAAAAGTAAAGGACAGATCCTAGGAGCTCATTTAAGCTGGAAGGCAGACCCAACAGGTATTTGAATAATTTATTAAGCTTTGGGGTGGGGAGGGGTTGTATTATTTTTTTTTTTTTTTTTTGTTTTTTTAGAACAACCTAAAGATTGAATAGTGCTGCCACATCTGGTCTGGTGCTTCTTCTATGTATCTAGAGATTCTTCATAAAATATAACGAATCTGCAATGTTACTGGTCTTGACATGGCATCTTGGCTTCAGTGATTGTTTTTTTTTTTTACCCCACTTCTGTAACGCAGCTTCCCTGTGACTTTTCTATAAATACTTTCATGGTAATTACTCTGATGAACTTTCCTCTATGATATTTTTTTTTAAGTTGTTATTTTTATTCCCTACCACCAAAGACAAATTGTACATATAGGAACTAGTTAGGACTACATACAGACTTTGAGGTATTGATTAAAAAAAGATTTAAAACGTTTTCTAAATTACTAGAAATCAGTTGTTTTATGAAAAATGTGTCTGAACTAGAGAGACATTTAGCATTTGCTTGGTGGAACTAAACTAATGAACGTAGCTTGTCTGAACAACTGCCATGAAAACAGCAATAGAATAGCAGTATTTCCTCTGTGGAAAATTGGTTATAGGGTGAAAATAATTCATAACCCACAAGGCTGTGCAAATGTTTTTGAACTATGTCATGGTTAGAAAGTAAGTATTGGGCAGCATTAGCCCAGGTATGGCAGCATAAAATACATTTTTGGTCTGATTGGAGTTGCGTAAAGATAGACTTATTGTTTGATATGTGAATAAAAAAAAATCCTTTTATATCTCATTTTGTTTATCTTCTATTTAGGATTTCAAATATAAGAGTTACTTTATTTACAGCCTCTTATCTACACCCTGGACAAACATTTATGCCCTCTCATCTAACCCCTTCGGCAAACATTTACACCCTCTCATCTACCCTCTCGGCAAACATTTACACCCTCTCATCTATCCCCTGGACAAACATTTACGCCCTCTCATCTACCCCTTCGGCAAACATTTACACCCTCTCATCTACCCCCTGGACAAACATTTACGCCCTCTCATCTACACCCTCAACAAATATTTATACCTTCGATAGACATTTACATCCATTTATTTACATCCTCAATAAACATTTTTTATAATTGTTTTTGATTTTTTTATTGAATTTTTTTTTCTGCAGGTTCAGTAAATTACCTAAAAGGTTTTGAAGTTTCTGTTTACCTGACAAGTGGTGTTAACAGTGGAGGCAAAAATATTTGTCGGGTGCTTGACTATTCAGAAGTAAAAGAGAATAGACAATGGAAAATGGCTGATCTTGCTGTAAGTTGATCTTATTTATGCTATATATGTGCATATATGCTTAAAAAAATATATTAAAATGATTCAGAAGTTTCCAGTCTTATGTTTATTTCATGATGTTAGGGAAATCTAAGAAGTGTCTCTTAAAATTTACTCAGCACTTTATTGCTTTTGTGTGTATCTTCAAGCCCATGACTGAATGTGGTTATAGGTTTGCTGCACAGCTAAGCACTTGACCAATTCCCTCCGCATATTTTGATAGGTATTTATTCATGCGTGCCATGTCTTGGACAATGTAGACCTAGCTGAGCCCATCCTTCTCCAAGTCAAACCAGAGCCGATGTTGTCTAACTTAAAGGCTTATATCGATCATGGAGATGTGGCCATTTAATTCTATAAGTGTGGGGGCACACTGCCCTGTCCATTGACTTCATTCTAGGAAGCCCTTTGACCACTGATACCATTTGTGTGTACAATAATTGTTTTCAAGACCTGTACAAGGTAGGCTTTCTGCAATGTCTGCTGAAGTGAGATTTGTGGTTGGAGCGAGTGCCAAGTTTATGGTGTGACGCTTTCTCTGCACGCTGTCTGTTGATTGATCCCCTGACAGCAGCCACCTGGAAAATCCATGAAGAAGGCTATTTAGCAGCTTCCATTACTCATTTATAAATTCTTGTGTCTCTTGCATAGCATGCCTCCATTGTGTTAATGACTTAATTACCTCCCCTTTGATTCTAATACCTATAAAAGGGTGTAAAGTGGAGGGTAGCTTTACTTGTTTTTTTATCCTTAGGCTTGCTTCGGCAATTAGTTGGAGATTTGTCTCCAGCTGTGCTGGTCGAACCCTCTGCCTTCATCTGGGGTGGTAGACATCTACCCAACCCCATTTTTTACAGGGTCTACAGGGAATTTTTGCCCGAGCCTACAGTTTTGGATACCCCATGTTAAATTCAGCCTTGTGCCACATCTGACCACGTGGGGCAGTTGGCAAATATCCTTGTTTTTTTATCCTTGGGTTTGCTTCGGCAATTTGTTGGAGATTCGTCTCCAGCTGAGCTGGTTGAACACACTGCCTTCGAGCAGAGAGGAACCCAGACTAGGCTATGCCAAATGGCAGTCTCGTCTGGTGTGGTAGACAGCTACCCAACCCCATTTTTATTGGGTCTACAGGGAAATATTCGCCTGACCCTCATTAAAAAAGGCCTTGTGCCACATCCTGCCTCGTGAGGTGGTGAGGTAAATAACTTTGTTTTTATCCTGGAAATTGTGGACAAACTAAAAAGATGACAGAAGGAACTAAACTGAGGAATAACATTGGCAGCAGATCATATACCAATTTTTGGTTGCTTCAGAAACGGATAATATTGTTCTTTTATACATAGAAATAATTCATTTTGGTCTGAGGTGAAAGTCTTACCATATATGCTTGTGTTGTTAAAATAACCAAATGTAAATTTTTCCTTACTCTAATACAGCAGTATTTTTAAAGAGCTAAAAAATCAATAAAATACACTGTCTAGAATTTAGTCAAACACTAACTTTTAGTTGGCCTTAACAGTTTAAGAACTCACCAAACAGTATAGTCTTGCCAATGTAACTAACCTTACAGTTAGTACATCTATATATGACTCATGCAATAGAATCAGTTCGTAATTTTTCTTTATTTAAAAAAACGAAGAACCAATTTTTAAACTTGGCAAGCACAATCTTTAACATGACATGATCCCTACAAAAATGTTTTGCCAAATAATTAATTTTAAATTTAACAGTTTTTGAATTGCCCCCCCCCCCAGTATGAAAATTAAAAAAGTTTTAACACCTGCTTAACACATTTAAATTCCCATCCACAGAATTAAATTTCTGTATTTTCTTTTTGTTGTTAATTTAGTTTGCCAGTCATTTGCAATAATTGAAATGGATTAAAAAGTGCTTGCTTTCAAGTGACTGACCTCTTCCTTCTTCTCTTGTACTCATTTGTCTGTCCATACGACGTCACTCCAGCCAAAGTTCTGTCAATCCCCCTCACAGACTCGCTATTTATGCCTGCGTCATGGGGAACTAATATTTGCATGCGAGACGTAATTCTCGTTCACACGAGACTCCCTATTTTATAAATTCAAACTGGTTTGAATTCTTAGTATTTTTCATTGTATATCTGCATGCAAGATAGTAATTTTGGAGTAATCCATTTTACTTTTAATGGCGGTCATGATCCTTCAACAAGACCTGACACGCCAAGCAAATTCACTTTGCGGGAGGCAAGTCTTCTCGTTCCTCACAGTTTTTGTAAAAAAATAATACAAAAGTTTAATTCTACAGATGATAACAATGATCTAATTTAAATTTTAAAAATTTCAAATTTCTATGTCTACATGATAGGCTTATTGAATTCTTTAACATGTCTATATGTGTGGGTGGTGTGATGGATAACAGCTTAGAATGAGAACTAAGAGAGCTGAATTCCAATTCCAGTCATATTACAATCACATACATGCAAATACCCTTGGGAAAAATATGAATCCATTTCTATCTACCAGAGCTATGGGTTAAGTAGCAGAACAGATTGGGTCCTTCAGTATCTGTCTATATTTCTGAGATGAGGTGTTATGTACATGTCGGAGTTAGCTCCTCCTCAGCTCCTTAACCCTTCGCGAGGGGTCTCTCTCCACTGGCTATAAATATTGGCTGACCTTTCGCCTCGATCTTTTTTTCCTCAGGCCTTGGGCCTTATATCACCTTGCAGATGTGAGCTCTCACAGATACAGCGTTTCCCAAATTCTGGGAACACGCTACAAACAATACACGTATGTACAAACACTTACCACAACACACACACATAATATTCACCACATGCACTCAATGTAACTGTCCATGTGCTTGTAACTTGTACTTGTTGTTGATACATATATTTGTTTACATATATTTATTGGTCTTGTTTGTTTTTTGTTTGTTTTCTTTGGACTTAATTAAAGTCCAACTTTCTCATGTAGCTGGACCGGCTAGCAGGAAATTTTAACCCACATGTGTTCTTCTACATACTCATCACCACCACGGTCCGCTACTATTTACAGTATTTGGACTATTGTCCTCATCTTTGGGTCCTATAGTCTTTGTTGACAACCAGCAGCCTACTGTGTAAATTCTGCTAAATAAGTCATGAATCGAAAAGGGATCTGATCACCCCAAGCATGCATGGCATCTGACGAAGGAAGATGGACTTATTTATTTTTTTACCTGACTATAAGATGGGTTCATGAATTTTTTTTTACCTGCCTATAAGATGAGTTCATGAATTTATTTACCTGTCTATAAGACAGGTTCATGAATTTTTTTACCTATCTATAAGATAGACCTTTTAATGTCTTCACCATTTTTTTTTTGCTTTATTTCCTCAGAAAATATTCCGTGTGGATATTCACCCACTTCCTGCCGATGCTTCTTTTTATGCAGAGATCTATGCCTTACCCAAACCTCCTTCGATCTATGAAAGTATGTCGACTCTCTATTTCACCACACCACAAGGTAAGCACACATTTTCATGCTTTTAACATTTATTGACATGTATATTGCATTGGCCAAGAAATCATCCCCCTTTTTTTGTATTTACTCCCCCCCACGAGGTCAGGTTGTGACACAAGGCCAGTTTAATGTGGGGAGCCCAAGCATGTGCACCTGGGCTAGAAACCAAAATTGCCTGCAGATCCCAACAGTTGCACCAACCTCGGCGCAAACACTAATCCCTCTCTCTAGTGCAATGAAAGAGCACAGCCTCAGGTAGCCACTCCCCAGACCCAGGCACTCTTCAGTACAACCCACCTCACTTGTGACTCCATCCCCTGATGGAGCCACCCCTGAACGCACCCGACCCAAAGACAAGAAATCATTCCCTTTGGGGGTACTCCAAAGGCTAGTCTTGTTGACCATACTTTTTATTATTTATTTTTAAATATAGAATGCACTGTACGGGGCTCTCATAATCCTGAATAATGAATTTGATCCTCACTGGGTGGGTTAATTGTATAGCATTTAACCAAAAACTGAAAGTAATGTTACTCTTTTTGCATTTAAGGTTTTCTCAACATGAGGTTTTTCACGAAAATATTATTCAGTCTAATTTTCTATACCTTTTTTTTTTCCAGACAAGGGACAAGAGATCTCCTCAACTTGGACCACAGCCATCACAACCACTTACAATAGAAAAGGCCACAGGGCACTTGAAATAAAATTTGAACCTGCGCCTCTCAAATTCAATTTCCCAGAATATGAAGTGGCACTCTATGCCAGTTACAATAATATCTACCTAAAGAAGAAAAGTGTTTATCAGAATGAGGTAAAACTAGTGGCAATTACTTAATTTTATCTGAGAATGAAATTTGCATCCTCTTTATATACAAGCCCAGCGCATACTACCACCTGGGCAAGCCTGTTTGGGGACAAAATTTGCTTATTTTCTACCTATATTTATATACATTACAAATTAAACTAAGCACAACTGACAATTAAAGGGTGACAAATTTTCAGGGATTTTGACATCATTCTGGATTTGTTTTTTTGTTTTTTCGTCCAAATCCGTTAACTTTTTTTGCTCATGTTAAGTTTTGAAAAAACACGGAATATAAAATTCACTGTTTTTTATCCATAATGTTGAATGTGTTAAAATTATTCAACTTTTTAACAAGAAAAATCTTGAGTAGATGCTAAAATTGCCACAAAAAACATTGTTGATTTATTTAAGATGGCATGATCTATTATGATGCGTCTCTAATTTGTATTTAGATACATTCTTTTTATTTACAATTTTTATAGTTGAATTTTTCACCTATATTGCATATGATCCATTACTGTACATAATTAGGTTACAATAAAGCTTGTATTTTATATGAATTCTACCTTAGGAAAATTGAGATGTAGTAGAAAGTGGTGGGGCGTATCATAAATTTGGCAGGGCATGAGATCATTGCACCGGCCCTGATTCCATACAAGAACACATTATCATGTTATAGTGAATAATTTTCATCTCCTTATACCTTCATAGCTATTTTTTCCTTGATTTAATCCTTGTAATTTCTATGATGGTTGATGGGGTTGGCAGATTTTATGACATATAGACCATTGTTGGGTTATTTAATAATGAAGTTTATTTTTTACTAGCAGTAGAGCCCGGTATTGCCCGGGGATGTAACAGTAAGAGATAGATCAAGTATCGATCATCATAAAGACTGAAAAATAAAATTGACAAAGATTATTGTTTAAGGTTGATTGACACGCATGTCTTAATTATTTTTTTTTTTTTTTTTTTTTTACGAATTGGTCAAACTCAAACAAAAACATTGTTTTCAATCGTTATGAGTCTATCGATTGAATGGAGTTTTTAAAGCATTCTGAATGTAAAAATAAAGAAAAAAGTGTGCAAGACAATAAGAAACAGTACCTGCCAAAAAAAAAAGTGAAGTTTTGTTGAAATCGGTTGAAAAATGTAGGAAATCTGATCCCATATATAAACGAACACACACACACACACACAAACAACCTGGGTTTATAATAAGTATAACTCGATATGAGTTGTCCCCCTTTCATTCTGGCAACATAATCGTGTTTTATCATGTTTTCAAATTGATTTCGTGCAAAAACAATTGTGTTTTTCCAATTTTTGGCACTGTCAGAACCACCGCAAGGTAATTTTACGTAGTCCTGTGAAGTCGGTTGAAAAATGTAGGAAATCCAATCCAATATATAAACGTACACACACACACACACACACAATCTGCGTTTTATAATAAGTAAGATTATAATTGAGTCTATTGATCAGGTTTGCAGCTGAGCCTGTAGATAAACATTTGTCTAACTTGTAGCCAAGCTTGTAGGTAAACACTGGTTGGGTTTGTAGCTGAACCTGAAGTTAAACATTAGTTAGGTTGAATCTGCAAGCATCTAGCCAAAAGCTAGCCATTTTTTTTTCTTGGAAGCTAGTTCTTATCCCTCCCATAAAGTATACCATATTATATTAATGGGAAAAAATAGCACACATGGAGCTATCATACCCTAGTCTCTACTTGTCTGCTTCACAACCTCTGCTCAGCCTCTTTGCAGTCTCTGCTCATTCACTTTGTTGCCTTTTCTTGGTTTCCACTTGGGCTCTTCAGGGTCTCTGCTTGGCTTCTTTGTGAGATCCCTGCTTTGCAGCCACTCTGTGGCCTCTGCATGGTTTCTGCTTCGTGTCTTTGCATCCTCTGCTTGGTCCCTTAACAGTGTCTTTGTGCACTCTGGTTGGCCTCTTTGCAGCCCAATGCTCAGTTTATTTATGTCCTCTGCTCAGTCTCTATGTGGCCCCTTGGTTTCTGCTTGATCTTTTCAGGATCTCTTTGTGGTCTCTTCATGTCCTATGTTCAGTCTTTTCATGGCCTCTTTGTGAGCCCCCTGCTTGGTTTCTATGTGCCCTGTTTGGGGGTTCCCTGCTCAGTCTCTTCACGGTCTCTGCTTGGTCTTTTCATGGTCTCTACTTGACGTCTGTTTGGTCAATTTGCAGCCTCTTTGTAGTCTCTGTTCCGTCTTTTCATGGCCTCTTTGTGGGCTCTCTGCTTGGCTTCTTTGTACCCTCTTACTCAGTCTCTCTGCAGCCTCTGCTCAGCCTCTTTCTGGTCTCTGTTCAGTCTCTTCATGGCCTCTTTGTGGGCTCTCTGCTTGGCTTCTTTGTACCCTCTTACTCAGTCTCTCTGCCGCCAACTGCTCAGCCTCTTTCTGGTTTCTGTTCAGTCTCTTCATGGCCTCTTTGTGGGCTCTCTGCTTGGCTTCTTTGTACCCTCTTACTCAGTATCACTGCATCCTCTGCTCAGTCTCTTTGTGATCTCTGTTCAGTTTCTTCATGCTCTCTTTTGGACTTCTACTTATCTTTTCATCTCTTCCAATTTTTAAAATCAGCTGAGATCTCATTTAGCTGCCTCACTTTATTCTTTTTAAATTTGTTGATAGCATTTCAATGATGAATTTTAGTTTTGAGAAAGGTCATAAGTTTGCATAGGAGGAGGCTAGCAAACATAGATAATACAATGTTTTGTCAAAATGTTCCCACAATACACAAACACATTTACTGGCAACTCCCTGCTGACTGAGTAACCCCATAATAGTGTCTGTTCACTCTTGCTCAGTAATATTCCCTCTGATTGGTTATCAAGTTACATCAAGGCATCATAACGGGTTCTCAAGATATTCGAAACGGCAAGATAATTTCCAAATTTTTCTCATACACACACATTTTGTGTCACCACTGTCTTCAATCCTCCAGACCCCCATCTCTACATCATAGACTGCATCAACAGCAGATAATTTTCTTTTCTTTTTATCTCACTCTATTATATGGGGAACAGTAGTTGTAACATTTTTTCTAGCAGCAAGCGAGAGTGTTGATGATTGTGAAAACACATGTCAACAGGTTGGCCAAAATCTCATCTCTGTGTGCTGGCTTGCCTCACTAAGGTGTGGGTGTGGCGAGACTTCTTGACCCTTCTACTTTTTGCAGCTGTCTTTGTGTCTTTTTAGTTTTATATCAATGTAGAGTCAATGTTTAATGGATGTCAGTTATCAGTTATCTCCTGTTAATTTCCCTCTGAAAGTTCTCCACTGCCTTAACGGGTATTGAACTCACACTCTTTGGTTCCTGTCACTGGATCTAACCAACGTCATTATCCACTGTGCCATGTGTCTTAAGGCAGTGGAGAACTTTCAGAGGGAAACTAACAGGTGATAAATGATAACTAACACCCATTAAACATGGCATGTGGAACTAGAACAGTCTACTCCAATGAGTGAAATAAAGGGTTCAGTTCGACATTCCAACCACCTGAAAAAGGCTGGAGCGTACAATGGCCGAAATGTTGTAATAAATATGGCAACAAAGATGAGGAGAATAGTCCGAATAATGTAAATAATGTACATAATACCTCATCTCAGAAATATAGATGGATAGTGACTTTATTTCTTATTGTGGAGAGAGTAGCCATGGTTAAATGCAAAATAGGTAACAGAACTTCCCAAGAAACAGAATTGACAAAGTTTGCAATAAGCAATATCAAGAAAAGAACAAGGTAAAAAAAAATAATATAAAACAAGCAAACAATACATGCAAGACAAATTAACAGTAATATGGCCAAAAAGTTCACAAACTAAGAATTGGGGTTGACACACACAAGAGCAAGTTCAGTTAAGTGAACATAGCAGAGAGATAGGGACTGAGTCATTTGAAACCAAGAACTGCCTTGTTTTATTAGCTAGGAAGAAATCCCAGCATGCATTTATGTGTTTCTGCCTATAAATTGGGGAGGGGAGAAATATTTTATCATCATTCCCAGCATAAATTGGAATCAATAATCAAAACTCAAACAAAAAAAATCAAGATGTCAGAATTCCATGCCCACTGGGTTCAAATGACCCCCGAACCCACTCAGTTCATGTTGTCAGAGTTCTGACCAGCCATTTGCCATGCTGGGCCAGTCTTTACACTCTGTAACATATGCCTTATGTGCAGTTATTTGTTAAAAGGTGTCAGTCTTGTTTTATTTTATTGTTCATTTATTGCTTTTCATGAAATTGCAAAAAACAATGCTTAAATTAATCATTTCCTTTTCTTTTTTTTCAGAATACAGTGATCTTTGACAACATATGTCCAGGTATTTATGATGTTTGGGTAAGTGTGCTATCTTGATATAAAAAAATATATATACATTTGTAAACATGTAAGAATATCATCTCTGTCAAAAGTTAACTTTGATAATCTGAAGTAGGCTTATCCAATCGGAAGCCTGTGAACAATCAGTTGTTTGGCATCTGATTAGATAATCCTCCAAGGGAATGCTGCAATTGGTCTGTATAAAGCAGTGTATTTTTCCCATTGAAAAAAAAGTGACTATTTGAATGACTGCTATCTTGTAGAAATGGAGGCCATCTTTGTAGAATAGCCGGTATCTCTGTGAGTGCATATGTGTCATTTATACATAAAATGAAATTGATCTTTTGAAAATATTTGCCCAGATATTAATGAAAAGCAAACCAGTGACCATTAAGCAAAACTGTTTATGCCAAAACCCTCTACAAGTACCATGTGACAAGTGATGGCATCCTACCAGTTTACACAAACTGATTCTTAAAATTATAAAAGCTTAGCAAACTGGTTGTTAGATTATCCAAAAATAATCTTATGGTCTACGTAAAATGTTAGTTATGTATGCTTGTGCCTAGTGAAACTGTAATAGACACATGCTGTTTGGAGTTTAAAAATGTGGCAAATCTTCTAGTCACAAATTTGATGTAGGTGGTGTAAATACTCTTGGAAAGATTTGAATCTACCTCTTCTCCTCCCAGCTATGGGTTAATTAGTGGGTTTTGTATAAGTAAATCATTATAATCTTCAAAAACTTTTTACAATCTAAAAATATTTTCTGGTTTTGAATAGCCTGCAAAGGGTTGATAAGACATAAAAAAAACCGAATAAATTGCAAAAATCTAGTTAGGAAATCCGTCATATTTTCAAATGGTTAATCCAAAGCAAATTTTCTTTTCTGCTCATTTTTTTAAAAAATATGACAATCTTTAATATGCTAATTTTTATGTAATATCTGTTTCATAGGTCTATCCAGTTGATAAATATTTTGGTAAGCCCAACAAATGTCTATGCAAAGATGCCTCCAATATGTGTCAGACATGTGTAATCTCTACTACGGGCAATCTACGATACAAAGGTAAGCACATCTCTGTTTTCAGTATTACAAATTTTCACTTACAGTGGATTAGGTCAGATATGACCTATTTCTAACTGATGTCACATGTTATCTCTCTCCGAGACATATAAATATGAGATAATGATATATAAATTTTTCATATATCAAGAACAATATTGGGGAAAAATGTATGACAAAATGGAAAAGGGTTTGTGTGATGCATTTCATTGTTTAGGACTTCATTGGACTAAATTTGTTATGTTGGTGTGACTACACATGCACACAAATGAGGGATGCTGGGAAATTAAAATCATAATTTTTTTTTTATAAAAAAGAAAAAGAATATAAATGAAATTGGATAAATTATATGAAAAAATTTTAATTTAAAATTCCCAACGTCCATTGTTTGTACACGTGTAGTCCCACCAATGTGAAAAATTTAGCCTGATGAAGTCCTAAATGACAAAACATGTCACACAAAAACGTTCTTCTATTTTGTCATACATTTTTCCCCAATATATAGGATATGATGGATGAATTACAATCTAAATTATGCAAAAATGAAAATAACATAGCATCTCATTTTAACAGATTTAACAAAATTACACAAAAATATCTTTAAATACTAAAGAGCAAATTTATTCAATAAAATCGCATTGGCTTCAACCATAGCATCCAGGCAACTTCAGAATCTCCTGCAACTATTCTGGATGGTCTCCTTGTTTAAGTCAGTGAATGCTGCTATAACCCTTGCTTTTAATCTTTGGTATTACAAGGAGTTTTGTTGGTCTCTCACTCAAATGCACCCCACATATAATAATTAAGGGGTTGCAGCCTGGAGAGTTAGGTGGCCAGATGTAAGGGGTGATGTGTTTGCAGAAATTGTCTGTTAGCCTTGACTGGGTTTTCCTGCTTGTGTGATATGGTGCAGAGTCCTGTTGCCAGGCCTAGGGTCTTCCAGCAGCCACTCTTAACCCAGGGCAGCACTACCTCCAAAAGGCACTTGATGTAGGCCTCTATTTTTAAGTCTGAGCCCCTGTGGGAAGATGAATAGAGACTGTCCAGAAGAGTTTCAGGAGATTCCAAAGTCATCTAGAGGCAGTGGTTGTAGCCAATGGCGATTTTATTGAATAAACTTAATTTTTAGTATTTCAAGATATTTTTGTGTGATTTTGGTAAATATATCTGTTAAAATGAGATGTCAGTGTTATTTTTACTTTTGTTTAATTTAGACAATTTATCTATCGCAACATGTATCTCACAATGTGGGATATTAATTCAGGAAATCTTTTTTCTTGTTTTTTTTCTTAAACTTTTATAGTAAAATTCATTTCATATTTAATCAGTTAGTGCTAAAAACACAAAAGCTTAAATTACCTGTCAAAAGTTAAAGGAAGTAAAATGTAAATTCAAAAGTTGTTTAATAGTGAACTGAAGTTTATTATATTTATACTATCCATCTTAGCAGACACTTATACTCAAAACAATATTCCTATTCCCACCGTTTTATTTCACAGGTCCTCCATGTGCATCCCAGAACACTTCCAGTGCACCGGTCTTGAATCTTGCCTCACAAAGCCTAGGATCAGCAACATTCCTAAACATGCCTGCTGTACCCATTGACCTAAAGTCTAAAAATGACAACAATAACAACAACTTGGTTATCTCGGTCAGTGTCATTGGGACGCTCATGGGTATTGGTCTTCTGCTGGTCATCTTCACACAACGCAAATGTAAGTCTTTTATAAAGGTTTTAATTTTATTTTGTACATAAAGATAACAATACAAAAAATAGGGTATAAAAAACAAGGTGTTCTATACTATAGGCCTATTCATGATGCAACTAAAGGCCAGAAATAAAAGCCCATTTCAAAATGTTTGACTTTCAGAAATTTTGGAAGAAAAGTGAAAAGTTAAACAACATTCTTAAATGATTTGTCATTAATTTTGTAGTGTAACAATATTACATTTGCATCTGTTTCATGTGTTTTGATGTAAACTAAATTAAAATACAATGTACTTTTTAAAAAATATTTTATGGAAAGGAAAACATAAGTTACTCATAAAAGATTAAATTTTATCATCAATATATCTTGTTATGCATGAAAATATCATTCTGGTAATAAAATAAGCATATCT